AGGTGCAAAACACATTGCATGCGCAGCTGGATACAATATTCATCGTCTTGATCGTTATGCGTGACAGCGATGGTGATTTACTTATACATGTACACACATGCATACAAGCACACACGCAAACACACCCACATATATACATATATATATATATATATATATATATATATATATATATATATATATATATATATATGTAAAATAATGTGTATGTGTATGCACATGTGCATGTGTATGTGTATGTGCACATGTGTATGTGTATGTGCACGTGTAAGTGTTTGTGCCTGTGTGGGTGTAGGTGTGTGGGTGAATGTATGTTTGTGTATGTGTTTGTGCATGTGTGTATGTGTGTATGAATATGTGTGTATGTGTGTATGTTTATGCGTATGAGTATGTGTATGTGTACGTGTATGTGGATGTGCACGTGTATGTGTATGTGTGCATGTGCCTGTGTGTGTGGGTGAGTGTGTGGGTGAATGTATGTTTGTGTATGTGCTTGTGTATGTGTGCATGTGTGTATGTGTGTATGTGTAATTGTGTATGTGTGCGTGCGTGTATGTGTATGTGTATGTGTATGTGTGTATGTGTGTATGTGTATATGTGTGTATGTGTATGTGTGTGCATGTGTGTATGTGTATGTGTGTATGCGTGTATGTGTGTATGTGTGTACGTGTGTATGTTGGCATCTGTATGTGTGCGTACGTGTGCATGTGTGTATGTGTGTATGCTTGTATGTGCGTATGTGTGTGATGTGCATACGTGTGTGTCTGTATGTGTCTATGTGCATGTGTATGTTTGTGTGTTTATGTGCAGGTGCATGTGTGTGTCAATGTGTACGTGCGTTTGTGTGTTATGTGCGTATGTGTGCGTGCGTGTGCGTGCGTGTGCGTGCGTGCATGCGTGCGTACGTGTGTGTGCGTGTGTGTGTGTGTGTGTGTGTGTGCGTCGGTGTGTATGTGTGTAAGTGTGTGTAAGTGTGTGTAAGTGTGTGTGTGTGTGTGTGTGTGCGTGCGTGTGTGTGTGTGTGTGTGCAAGTGTGTGTTTGTGTGTGTGCGTGTTTTGAGCTTGTGTGTGCGTGTTTTGTGTGTGTGTGTGCCACGGTGCAGCTGGGCACGGAGTGGGCGCGTCCTCAGGTCCATGGCCGTATCCCCTGAGCCTCAGTCCTCAGTCATGAAGAGCTTCTTAGGGGCCCGGATCCCAAATTCTCAACTCCTGGGGCTTGGCGCGGTTTTCCAAGGGCACAGTCGCGGCTTCCCGAATGGCCTCGAATCGCCAAACAATCGCTCCAAGACGTCCAAGATGGCCTCAAGACGGCCCCCAAAGCCCCCCAAATGCCCCAAGAGGCCTCCGAAGAGTACCCCAAGAAGCACAAACCTTTGATTTCCCCACGGTGTTTGGAGGATTCCGGTGTTCTCGCCTTTTCGGTTTCCCGACGCTCCATGATGGCCCACGAGGCCCCCAAGATCACCCAAAGACGGCCCGAGGCCCCCAAGAGGACCCCAAGACGGCCCAAGAGTGCCCCAAGAGTGCCCCAAGACGGGCCCAAAAGGCGCCCAAGAGGGCCCAAAAGGGACCAAAGACGGCCCCATGAGGGGGTCCAGATGGTGAAGCCGAACTGATATTTCGAGCCCTCGGCCACAACGAGCCCGCAGGAGGCCCCAATAGGCCTCCAATAGGCTCCCAAGAGACCCCAAGTGGCCCCCAAGAGCCTCCCAAGGGGCCTCCAAAAACTGCTCCCAATAGGCGCCCAAGAGCGCTCAGAAAAGACTCGAAGAAGCATTTCTGATAACTGTGACGGGATGGGCCGAATGCCGCTATTTATCTAGATGTTCACACATATACATATGTGTAGATATTCATAAAATGATAACAATGCGAGGAATACGGATAGTACTAACAATAGTAATCGTACTACAACAACTAATATTAATAATACTCACAATGCCTATACGACCACCCTTCGGGTGATACGGAGGTTTGGGGGGGATGAACCAACGTCTCACTCGATCGGTCTCACTATCGATCTCACTATCGATCTCACTATCGATCTCACTATCGGCCTCGCTCGAACGATCTCACTCGATCGATCCCACAATCTATACCACTCGATCTATTTCATTCGATCAATCTCACAATCGATATGACTATCGATCTCACAATCGATGTCACTATCGATCCCACTGTCGATCTCAGCGGGAAGGTTATCCCCAGTCTCTGATGCTTGCTCTTTGGGAAGGTTGAGAGAATTTGGTCGCCTCATGGAAGCATCTGCACTTTCGTTACGCTCGGAAGGATAATGGTCTTCTGTTCGTCCGAGCGTTCCTTCTTGTGATCCCATGCTCTGCGAAGCTAAGGGCTGTGCCGTCGTTTCGGCTGATAACCAGTCTTGTGTCTGGATGTTAGTAATCCCTGCAACATGTCTGTGGCTCCTTTTGGGCTCTCCTGGTAAGCTCTTGGGCCTCTGTGGGGCCTTCCTTGGCTCGTCTTGGGGCTTTCCTGGGCTGTCTTGAGGCGCTCGTGGACCGTTTGGGAGTCTCAAGGGACGTTTTGGGGCGACCTCGGAGGCCCCCAGGGCCGTGTTTGGGCGTTTTTGCACCGATGAAGCAAGAACCCCAGAATCCGCAAAAAACCTAGGAATGTTTGCCTCTGGCGTCCCTCTTGGAAATCCTCGTGGGAGCCTCTTGGGCCGTCCGGGGGGCTTCTTGGACCGTCTTAGGGCCATCTTCGCCCCTTTTGGAGCGCTCTTGGGCTGTCTTGGGGCCTCTTGGGCCGTCTTGGAGGTATCTTAAATCGTCGTGGGGGCCTCTTGGGTGTCTCTTGGACCGTCCTGGGCCGAAAAAGCAGTCAACATGGCCCCCAGAAGGCATGTTAGAAAATTCTCCTCCGCCATGCCCCCCCCCAAATACTCCCCGTTGGGGCTAAAACCCTATACAGAACTTCTCTCGCTAGCGCTCTTTACGTCATATTATTCCGTTGCCAGTATTTTCCAGGGCCGCCCCCCTGGGGAGATGGTTCGAAGCCCCCTCTTGGAACGGAGGGGAGATGGGTGAGCAATTAACTTCAAGCCCTGGCCCCCTCTCACTCTTGCAGGCAGGCGCTCCGCTCGACCTCTTCTCACACTCCGGCTGCCGTTCCTCGACGGCCCCAGGGGCCAGGGCCCCTGGGGCCCCCTGGGGAGAGGAGCAAACAACTGCATAAGCACAAACTTTCAGAGGTCTGCGCGGGTTTCTGGGACCCGCCCCCCTGTCCCCTGTCGCGGCGCAGAGCGCGCCAGGGGCGGCACCGTAGGCGCCGCCCAGGGGGCCAAGCGCAGATCCAAGGAATCCGTGCCTCTGAAAGACTATGTTTGAACACGTAGTTCTTGTTTGTTCTTCTTATTCGTCTTCATATTGGGTGTCCGTTGATTGGGGCAACGAGCGAGGAAGGGTGTCAGGGAAATGCCCGTATCTTTCTTGTTGGGCCAGGGGTGGCAGTTTCGGAGCCGTGTAGGCCTCATTTGGGGCCACCTTCCTACAGCCCTCGATCCTTCACGTCTACTTTGGAGTATCATGTGGGACCTGCTCTACGCCAGGAACGTAGATGTATCCACCCTTGCTACGACCTTGCCCTGCGACGAACGCAACGACCGCGTGATCTGTAGACGCATACGCAAGAACACCCAGTGTGCCTATAGACGCATGTGGCCCGAACGTCTACCTGCTACAAGCAAGTAGACGTTGCCCTCCAACGCCTATGGCGTCCCCCTTGCCGCCCGGCGGTCCGCCCGTTTGGAGCACGCCGCACTGCTTCACGGCGCGAGGAGGCCCGGGCCCGAGCGGCGTGGTGACCACACCGCGGGGCGAGCCCGTGGGGACTCGGGGTCACCGCGCGCCTTCGAGACTCGGGTCGCTCGCCGAGGACATCTCGGGCGACCGAGTCCTCCGAGGTCCCAGGGCAGTGCGGCGACGGAACCCGCGGTGAGGTCACCGCGCTGCCCGTCACCATGTGTTTTTCGATGCTGGCTTTCCGCATCTGGCCGAAGGGGGGGGGTGTCTGGGTCTGGGTCGGTGCTGAGTTGATCTGCTGTTCAGCAGTCGCGCACGCAGACTGGGAGGAAAGGGGCGTCCGACCGGGTCGCGACCAGTCGCCAGAAGCAGCCGTCAAAAATGGCCACGACCGGGTTATGGGGGCGGGAAGGCTTGAACGCCCAAAACGGGTACGGAAAAAGCCGGTCACGATGCCTACCATAACATGAAGCTCTGTTCCAAATCGACAGCGGCCGCTGCTGGCCAGGCAGCCTTCTGACCCAAATGGGCAACGCCCGCGGCGACGCCGACAGCGCGAGTCCTGATCAAACCGGGCAGGGGCTGTTGTCACTCGTCGTACACAGTCTTTCCGTACCCGGTTCGATCGTCCCGAAAGGGGGGGGGCAGGAGAGGGGGGGGGGGGGCAGGGGTGAGGGGCGGGAGGCGAGGGGAGGGGGCCTCGCGTCGATCGGCGAGACAATACGTGAAGCAGCAGCCACCACGAGGACCCTCACGACTCGGATCCCCTGAAGCAAAACCCACAAACAATGATCAAAACAATAACAGGAACACACAACAACAAAGTGCGCAAATGTCCGCACACACAAACAGGAGCATACAACAAGCAAAACAAACAATAATACGAAACAGACGCCAAGTTGTGCGTCTTGGGAGAAAACTAATCGGAAAAATGTGCATCTGCAATCTTGTTCCACCTTTTGCTGCGCTATCTGATGCGCGCGATCTTGATTTTCGCTGTGCCTTTTGAGCCGCTTTCGCGTTTTGCCTTCAAATGGCAAGAGACTTCTTCTTGTTATCAGGACACACCAACAACGAGGAACCCTGGGGCCGCCCGACTGCTCCTGGAACCGCCCCCGCCGCTCCGTGGGCGGCCGGGCACCTCTCCGAGGAGTCCCCGGGGCGCGCCAGACGATCCGCGGGAAGGGAGGGGCGATCCGCCGGTGCCCACGGGAAGGCGCGCGCGCCGGGGGCGCCGGCCTGCTCGGGCTCGACTGGTGCAGCGACCCCATCGTGCCGGTGCTGACTCCTCCAGAGGTGTGTGGCCCCCGCATTCAGCACAGCATCCCGTACTCAACAGGCCCCCGCTGGAAGATACCATCCTTCGCAATCCCATTGAAAAACCTAATCCTGCCCGCCGCCTTCTTAAACACCATACTCTTCTGTCACGCCAACACCTGCAGCGCGACACCGGGTTCTGGGCTGTGGGTTCCGGCTGCGGAGCATGGGCAGCCCTGTTCGGCGGCGGTCGAAGGCCAGAAGCGACAAGGGGTAGCTTTCCCCGAGGGTTCGGAAGGCCTCGGGCCTGCGAAGGAGTTTCCGAAGGCTTGCCCGAAAACGCAAAAAAAACGCCGCCTTCTGAGAAGACGCATTATCGAAAGAACGGGGTTGCCGACGGCTAGAAGGATTCTGAGAAGCCCCGCCGCCTTCTGAAAAGGCCTATCCCCTTTCACTACCCCCCCGAGCGCGCCGCCAACATATGTGAGCCCGACCCCTGTAGGTCAGCTTCGGCAAAACAAGTTTGGGCTCACTATTTTAAAGGATGTTTGCAGGTAGACCTCAGCGGAGGCGTCCGAAACCCCAGCGTCGATCGGACCCGTAGTGGTACGGTTTGCAGGTGGTCGCGAGGAGTGTGGCCTGGCCCCAGGGTGCCCCCCTACTTTCCGCATCATCCTGGACTCCCTGGGCCGCTGGGCCGCGCGTGGGGTGCTCTGAAGCTGTGGAAATCAATCCACTTCGGGTCGGACGAACAGGGGGGACTGCACATGGGGCGTCAGCGAATCAGCTGTACGCGACATGTTATCCAGACGCCTCGAAGGCGACCCAAGGGACCCCAAAATGGCCTCATGACAGTGTCACGGATGGTGGCCCCAGGACTCAAGAACCAATGAAGACGGGAATGTTCTTGGCGCACCCATGCCTGCGACGCTTCTCGCGACCAGACAGCGCAGCTTCCACTACGGCGGGAGGGCGATTTGAGCCACGCGGGCACAAAATGGAACGGGGGCAGGGGGGCGGGGGGGGGGGAAAGCAAATGCGGACTGAACGGAACACATCTCCCAAACAGAGATGTGGCCGTCGCTGAGGCGAGAACACCGCGCCCAATGCCAATTTGACTTAGGGGCGTGGCCAGCGGTGACGCACGCGCACAATTCGTAATCAGAAGTGTGGCTGGTGCGGGCGCAAGAGAACCTTTCCCAATCGGGGATGCGGCCCACGCTGAAGCGATTGCATCAGTCCAAGGCAACTGCGAGAAAATATATAATTTGTTCGAAGCAACAGATCCACACTTCCTGAAAGTCTGCGTTTCTGTCGAGGCGCCAGCGCCGGGAAATCTGGGGCGACGCGCTCAAACGATCGACGGGGCCAAAAGAGAACGAACGATACAGTTTCCTTGAACCTTTTGCATTATTTTGGCGTTTTCACGCGTTCGAGCTTCCTGCAGCTCCAGAAAACCCTCGAGACCTCCAAGATGGCCCCAAGACGGCCCAATGCCCAAAACTGCTTTCGAAAACCTCTCGACGGCCCACGACGGGTGAGGACGGCCCAAGGACGGCCACAAGAGACCCCTGGCGCCGAGTTCGAGCGGCTGGGCTTGCTGCGACCCAACCCCGCGAGCGAGGGGAGGGCCCGCCAGGGACGGAAGCCCGCGGCGCCGAGCTTGATGAGAACGGCGGGCGCCCAGCGGACGTGTACATCCCCCGCTGGCGCAACGGCGTCCCGGCTGCCTTTGACTTCGCGATCACTTCTGGGCTGCGGGGTGACCTCCTTGCAGCCTCAACAGCCGCGCAAGGCGCCGCCGCCGAGCGCTACGAGGTGCAAAAGTGCCAGTTCCTCAACACGGTGCGCAGCCGCAGCGCGTTTGGTGTCACCTTCATCCCCATGGTGATGGAGGCGCACGGCGGCGCCTGGGGCAACGAGGCACGCCGCGCGCTCGCCGTCCTGGCGAAGCGTGAGGACCCCGCCCTAGCGGCGGCGAAGCACGCCCAGCGACTCTAGCTAAAGTTACTCCTGCACAAGGAGACTGCGCGGGCCGTGCTGCGCCGACTGCAGGCCCCAGACAAGGCGTCCGCAGCCCCGCTTGCCGCGGCGACGCCGGCGAGCGCGGCAGACGCCACGTGAGCAGCCGCCCTTTTGCCCCGACATCCCCCGCTCTCCCGCCCTCGCCCCCGCCCCCGACGACGGCCCCGCCCGCCCCGCCTGATGCCCGGCGAGGCCTGCTGTGACGGTCCTCATACCCCCGGACCCACGACGACCCCGACGACACCCCCACCCGCGACCCACGACAACACCGACGACGACACCGATAACCCCACGGACCCACGACGACCTTCCGACCGCCGCCGACTCCCTTTGCCCCCTCCCACCCCCCGCCCGCCCCCAACTTGCGCGCTTGCCTGCTGCTGCCTGTGCCTTCCCCTTCTCCTCCTGCATGTCGGCGTGTGTTCGCCGTTTTTCGTTCCAACTCCCCCTCGTTCCT